CCCAGGTTAGGAGAGGATTTTGGAGAAAGGAAGAAAAAGGGTTAGAGTTGAGAGGCCAGATCGGTGAGTTTGATGATGTTAGTTTCAACTAGGCCTAATTCATTGACATTAACTGTCTGTATAAGTTTCTCGCACTTTGAATTTCCAAACGTAGGAGGGGTTGGGAGTGCCCTTTAGGGGCAATAAGGAAAGTAGGAAGACGCTAAGAAGGGAATTCATTTCTACGTATGGGTGGGAGGACTGGAGGTTGGGATAGATGGAGTTTGAGGGGGTTGGTAGGATGAGGGGCGCAGGAATAGCTTTCTTGAGAGGGCTTGGTCTGGACTTCAGGCCCACTTGTAGGTTCTGTGAGATTCGTCGGTGAGCCTTGAGGGCAGGGTTTTAACCTGGAAATGTGGATCCATGGAGTTACTTGGTTGTTTGGTAAAGAAAATTTGGCAGCTGTGGGGGTACAGAGAAAGACTGGGTAAGGGCCCTCCCACTTAGGAGTTAAAGGATCTTGTGGTTCAGGGGGAGTGTAGAATACTAAATCCCCAGGGTGTACTATAGGGTTGTTCTGGGAAGAGGTACGATTAGGTAACAGCCAATCCTGATGTTTCCAGAGCTCTGCCCGGAGGTGGGAAAGTAACGGGATAGCCAGGTTGGGGGGTATGATTTCTTGTTTAGGGATGATTCCTGGAGGCAGAGGGGATCTGCCATACATAATTTCAAATGGGGAAAGGTTTAAAGGCTTTTTTGGGTGAACTCTAAGTCTGAACAAGGCTAGTGGTAAGAGCCGGATCCAGTCAAGGTGAAGTTCCAGAGATAGTTTGGTAAGGATGTCTTTTAGAGCCCTGTTGGCGCATTCAACTTTACCTGAGGCCTGGGGCTGGTATGGACAGTGTAGAAGCCAAGGGAGAGAGAGAGCTCGAGATAAATTTTGTGTTATTTGAGCAGTGAACTCCGGGCCGTTGTCTGTTTGTATGGAAGAGGGCATTCCAAATCTTGGGATAATTTGGGTGGGGAGTATGGATGCCACAGTGGTGGCCTTTTTGTTAATGGTGGGGAAGGCCTCTATCCACCCAGAGAAGTTGTCTACTATTACTAGGAGGTATTGTTGATGCTTAACAGGAGGCATGTGGGTGAAGTCAATTTGCCAGTCTGCTGCGGGGATATTACCCCTAGCTTGATGTGAGGGATATGGTTTGGCTAGGAAAGAGGAGAGTAAGCCTAAGACTCTGGATGGGGGAAGGGAGTGTACAGCCTTGTAGGGGAGGAGGTCCTTTAAATGGTGAGGCGAGAGTATGGTTAAGGGCGCACCGAATGTTAATTTATGAGCCTCTTTTTGTAGTACATGTCCAGCGGCCAGAGCACGAAGGCAGGGAGCCCAGCCCTGGACAGTAGTATCCAGCTGTTTGGATAGGTATGCTACTGGGGCGAAGGAGGGGCCACACGCCTATCCCAACACACCCAGGGCTTGTCCATCCTTTTCATGTATGTAAAGGGAGAAGGGTTTAGTGAGGTCAGGCAGATGTAGGGCGGGGGCCACAACTAGGGCCTGACGGAGTTTTTGGAATGGCTTATCTGGTCAAGATGACAGGGGTTCATTTTGGTCTCCCATTGTCAGGTTATACAGTGGGAGGACCAGCAGAGAGTAATTTGGGATCCATGCTCTAAAGTATCCCACTAAGCCCAAAAAGGATAANGGGGGCTGTCCCGGAATCCCTGGGGTAAAACAGTCCAAGTAAGCTGCTCTGAATGGCAAGTATTGGGGTCAGTCCATGTGAAGGCAAACAGATCCTGTGAGGAAGGGTCTAAGGGGATGGAAAACTGAGAAGTAGGCGGTAGAAGCTGGAACCCGGGACAAGAGGGTGTAGGGATTAGGGATGAGGGAATGGATAGGAATGACGGCGGAGTTGATTAAACGGAGGTCTTGAACCAAGCAATAGGAGCCATTTGGTTTTTTTACCGCCAGTATGGGAGTATTGAAAGGCGATTGAGTGTGGCGGAGGTATCCCTTCCTGAGAAGGTCCTCGATAATGGGTTGGAGTCCGCGAAGCGCTGTGGTGCTGAGGTGGTACTGAGACTGACTTATATATTTGGAGGGATCTTTTAGCCATATTGTTATGGGGACGCAGTGGGCAAAAGAAGGGTGCAGAGAATGACTGGGTAAGGGCCCTCCCACTTAGGAG